GGACTAAACATGCAATATAATTCTTATTTTGGACGAGTGATGCAAGTCCAAAACTTTTTGGACCAAAGTTTCAATTTTTGACATACCACAGGGACCAAATTTACAGTTTTGTCAAAGAAAAATTATAAATTTTGCCTAATACACTAATTAAATGTAAAAATACCGGATATAAACATTATTTGGGGTTGAAAAATGCAACATACTAATCTTTAATGTTAGAATTTAGTTTAATAAAACTAGCATTTTTTACAATTTATTTTTTATTACTTATTAATTACTTTAACTTATTTATATTTTTTCAGTTTGGATTCATTTTGGAGTTATCTTCGTCCGAGTTCAATTTAAAAAAAAAAAATATTTGGCTCTTAAAGTAAACGTAAGAGATTACAATGTAAGATACAAAATTAATGTCTACTCCATCTCAAGGGAAGCCTAATAAAAGCAAATTATCAGCGAGTTGCAAAAAAATTAGTTATTTGGCATGTAATCATTATTTAAATGTGTAATTTCACATAATATTTGTATATGTTATTTTTTAGTGACCTTTATTTAATTATAATTTTCATAAAAATGTTTCAAATTCTTTAAGATGTGAACTTTTTTCAATAATTTTAGTATTGTAGCCTTATAATTTAGAGTTTTTCAACTTGTACCCGTTGATTCAAAATCTCAAGAAAAAACAATTATGAATGTATTATACAATCACCTTTTAGTTGAACACACAAAATAATATTTTTTTTTTACTATCATTTTATATTTTATAACGTTTTTGTAAGGATCTTAATCCGGTAAAAATATAACCACATTTAATGTGAAAATTTTGACACCACAAGTCCTCATCATATGAAATCTAATAGTAGATTTAAGATGCAAGTTGGATGAAGTTTTTGATGTTGATGACAACGTGAATTTGTCGTCAACAAAGGCATGTGTGGAGCAGGAAATGAGGAGGAGATGAAGTTGTTGATTCCAAAACTTGAAAAATAATGGTTATAAGGTTTTCATATCAACTATGATTATCTTTAAATCCTTATAATTATGGATTTACGAAATATTAATTACTTTTACGGAATAATAAATATAACTCTTATTAGAGCTATACTATCTTGCATAATTATACAATTACCGTCTTACGTTTTTATGCCCTATTTTGCTATTTTGTGCATATCTATGAATTAATGACTTAAGTGAATTTACAACAACATGATAACTAAATTGCAGACAAAGTATTATGTTTATTTAATTTTTTAGTTTTCTAAATAATTCAGGTCTCTTACAATCTTAAATATGCTACACTTTTTTAACGTCTAATATTTTTTCTTACCTATATAATAATTATAATCATATAAATCATGGTTTTCACGGATTATAAGCTAATAAATAGTGTAAAACAAATATTGTAAAAAAGTAAATTAAACAAAAAGCTTTTGTAGCTCAGTTATTGACCTTAGTAAACGCATCCATAAACCTAATTTAAATACACATAAGAGAGTGAACAATGAAAGACCAATAGGGACGAAAAAGGAAAACAGATTCCTGTTATCAAAAGCAAAAATTAAAAGGGAAATGTAGTTTAATAGATATTTAACTATTAAAATAAATATCGTAAAAAAGTAAACCAAAAAGCTCTCGTAGCTCAGTTGGTTAGAGCACCCGTTTAGTAAGCGGGAGGTCTTGAGTTCGACCCTCAACGAGAGCAAGTTGTTTTCTCTTATTGTCTGCAAAACCTTTGTGTATAACACTAAACTTCTTGAAAATTGCTTGATCATGGTTATATAAGTAAACGGTAAAGCAACTTTTTATCAGGTGAGTTGTCTATTGAAAAACTTCTTGAAAAGTGTTCGTTCATCTTTCATAAAATGATTACTTAAAATGTTTAAATAAATAAAAAAAGTCTAGAAATTTATATGAATATGTATTTTTGCCCCGATGACAAAAAATTCGTTAAAAAATCAATGATATTCATTTTATTTTTATGAGATCTGAACATCTTATGATTGAGTAAAAATTATTATTTATGAAAACAAAATTGTTAGAAGTAAAATATTTTGGGAGATGTGGAAGATATCTATCTATCCGAGATTTAATCCCGTTTTTTTTTTTTTTTTTTTTTTTTTTGGTCCTTAAGGTTTATTTGCTATGACTAGGGCTGTAAACGAACTGAACGTTCGGCGAACTGTTCGTGAACTGTTCGCCGGGAAGTTCGTTTATGTTCGTTTATTTAATAAATGAACGAACATGAACAAAAATTATCGTTCGTTTAGTTAAATGAACGAACATGAACAATGGTCTCGTTCGTTCATTTATGTTCGTGAACGTTCGTTTATGATGTTCATTTACGTTCGTTTATGTTCGTTCGTTTAAGTTTATTTATATTCATCTATATTCAATTATTTTTTATTACATTGTTATATTATATGTTCATATATGTTCAATTGTGTTTTTTTTTTAATCTTTGTTCGTTTATGTTTGTTCGTTTATGTTCGTTTAACATGTTCACAAACATAAATGAACGAACATGAACAAAGTAATTTGTTAAACGAACGAACATGAACAAGAAAATCTCGTTCGTTTATCCGTTCGTGTTCGTTTGTTGTTCGACTAACTTAAACGAACGAACATGAACAAAACCTTGTTCGTGTTCGTTTGGTTCGTTTACAGCCCTAGCTATGACTACATTCTTTTCAAAAAAAAACTATATTATCATTTGTTTATCTTTTTCTATTTATTTTATCTGCCTAATGTTGTGAATTTTCATATATTGCGATCCATAGTTAAAAATAGGAAGTATTTTGTAAGGAAAAAAAAATCTAAAATTTACAACCTTTTAAACAATTTATATGGTTATTTTGTTATAAAATATTAAAAGATAGCTATATCCATATATGATATTTTATTAAATAACTCAAAGATATCTGTATTTTTTGTTTCTATTACCATTATAGGGCACAAGAGTATAAGGAACCTAAAAATAATTGATGTTAGAAATAATTTAATTTGTAGGAATAAGTCTAAGAAGAAAAGAGCTAACATAAACAAATAATAAAAAGATTATTTTTCATAATATTTTATGGATAAAATATATAAACTATAAAATATTTAAACTATAAAATATATAAACTATAAAATATTTTTATCTTTTTATTGATAAATCCATATTTTGTATCAATTAAGCCTTTTATACTTTTGTGTTGTCTTATTGGAAATTAGTAATTTATATTTATAAGAAAAGTATTGGAAAGTAAGTCATTAAAGATCTTTTCTTTTCTCTAAATGTATGCAAAATTAAGATATTGTCACTCAACACCCATCTTGACTATTTTATCCAATGTTGTTTTTTTCCTTTTCTTTATGGTTGGGTTTTGTTTTGTTGTATAAGTTCTTTATGTATTTGAATCAGGGGTTAGAGCTTGTTCTTTCCTTCTTTATTTGTTTTCTTTGTTATAGATTGGTTGTTTCTGTTTCTAGGCTGTCAAAAGGATTTTATAGGTATAATCGTCATGTATTAATTATTTCTATTAGTAGAACTTTATTAGAAGTACCACCATCCTTTAAAAAAAATCATCCAAAGAACACAAACATATTTTTGCGATTTGAATAATTAAAGTTACATAATTAATTCTAATGAGATGTGTTTTGGTTATAGAATATTAGGTGTTTTGGGTTTTGTTGTTTAAAAAATAAGCTATACACTAACATTAACAAAACCTTAATCCTATGAAAATGGTTAAGAGGAAGGAAGGAAGTATACAAACTTGCTTGGTTTCGTAAGATGATCGGTAACTAAAGAATAAATATTAACGTCATAAAATGGCAACCAACAGTAGACAATTTTGTTATATATGTCATTTTTCTTTTAATGGTATTTAATACGTCACTAAGTTTTCTTTATGTTCTAATTACACTATTGAGGTAAATTTCAACCAAATAAAATGGTACTTAATCATACATGACGTCTATTATGACATTCAATATTACATATTTCATGTAAGTCTATATGACCCTAACATTGTGTCTAGATATGATTGAAATGCACTCTATGTAGGGAATTTTGGGGTTTGTGGTGGAGATCTGGATACTAACTTGGATCGTGATATCACTTTTCGAACTGATATTTCTACCCTATGTATGGGTTACAAGAAATTCAGTCTGAGATAATCCAAGTGGACACTTACGATTCTAGGCACAAAAAATTGTAAGCCAATATGCTAGAGGATTATGTGAAAGTATAATGAAAAACGAGAGCTTAAGATCGTAACCATCTTCTAAGGAGAAAGAACTATTTATATATTAAACGAGATTAGGGTTTCATTAGGGTTGGGCCGTCATTAGCTGCTTTGGAAGCAAGTCATGATAATCTGGATTTAATGAGGATTTAGGGTTACCAAAACTAACGAGATTCGTTATTTTTACCATAATCACCTCAAGAAATTGAATTTTCCACTATGTTCCCATATGTAAAATTCGGTGAGGTTTTGGGGCTCTGCCCCTTGGACCCCGCTAGGGGCGCTTCCCCTTTAGAAACCCCGGACCCAGGGGCGCTACCCTCGGACCCCCAACTAGTCGTCGAACCGGCTTATAATTCGATCTTATACATGCGTGCACTCCGCACAACCCCCCATACATATATTAGAATATAAATTATAAAGCTCATTAGTTCACATGCTAGTTTCAGTTACTTAAAATGACATGGTGACACTAAAATCACCACACTCTAATGATACAATGAAACCAAAAACATTAATATAAATATAAATTTAATAATAGATTGATTACATTATAAATAATCCAAAATCAAATTAAATATATTTGTTTGTCATAATATTGGTTGTCATGACATTAACCAAGAAAAGTCATTATAACATCTCATCATATGATCTAAGAACGGATACATATTAATTTTAGTATTTTTATTTTAAATCATTAATCTTGTATCAAAGTGAATACCAAGTTAATAGAAATAATTAAATGACCATTTTTATAGTTTACTCTAAAAAGAAAGAATTTGTAACAAAAACTCAAAAATACAGGGGCCAGGTTGCAAACCCTTTTCTTCATCATCATACCAAAAACAAGTTTGCTTTGGATGGAGTGGCGAGATAAAGAGTGAAACATCGCTGCTACGTTGTGTTCTGAGCCGATCAACAACTGTTTGATCAACCGATTACAAAAGGGTTTCTCAATTTCGCATTCCGCTTGTTCATATATGGTGTTTATAGAATCTTCTCTCGGTTTCTGATCAAATGGCATCCGCCTTTCTTTCAAGAACACTCTTTGCACATCGTTTCGTCTCGTCTTTCGCCTTCAACCAAAAACCCCAAAAATTAGCGCCCCTTTTCTTCGTAAGTATCCGTTTTTGATCCTATTAACATATCCGAATTTAGTTATTTGCTCTGTTGATTTGTCTTCCGCTTGTAATTATTGCTGGTAGGTTGGGAATCATTTGATATCAGTAGTTAATTGTATTTTTTTTTTCTAATTCAATCGGCGATAGTTGTCGATTATCTCATAACATAATCCAATCTTCTTCTTATAGGTTGGATTTGGTACCATTTTTTTGGTAAATTAGATGGAAAATGTTTAATCCATCACTTTTTGAATGCAAACTTAGTAGGTTCGTAACCATTACAGTTAACTCATGTAGCTATTGTCCCTCATTTTCAGAAGAAACCCCTTCATTCGTGGGCTTTCCCATCTCAATCGGTGTACAGGAGGCAAACCTTAGTTCGTAGTGACATGGCTTCCACCATGGTCGGATCTACATCTCCTTTCTCAACACAGTCCATGTCAACTTCCGAGCCTGTTGTTTCAGTTGACTGGCTTCATGCCAATCTTCGTGAGCCTGATATGAAGGTACTGGATGCATCCTGGTACATGCCTGATGAACAAAGAAATCCACTTCAAGAGTATCAAGTGCGTATTTTTGCTTTCTAAACTTCTGTATTTGGCATTTTATCGAACACTTGTATGATCACTTGCTGATATTGTTCAAACGGGGTCTCAACAGGTTGCACACATTCCTGGTGCTCTTTTCTTTGATGTAGATGGGATATCTGATCGCACTACTAACGTGAGACACTTATCTTTCAATCCTTTTCTGTGTTTTCTTTTCGAATTAAAACTGAAAATATGGAACCTTTTAATTCAGCTGCCACACATGTTGCCATCTGAAGAAGCATTTGCTGCTGCTGTTTCTGCTCTTGGTATTGAAAACAAAGATGGAGTTGTTGTTTATGATGGTAAGGGGATCTTCAGTGCTGCTCGTGTCTGGTGGTAAGTTTCATTTCCTTAACTCTAGGAGGGCATTTTTGTCTTTTACACATACACAAAGATCAAGAACAACTGAACAAGTCCCTATACATTGGTCCACCAAACACATTACAACCCGTTTTGACATGTCATGTCATGTGTAACAAATGGGGCCTACACTACCTGATATGGGTTTTAGGGCTGATGTCATGATGAAATTGTGTAGGATGTTTCGAGTTTTTGGACATGATAGAGTATGGGTGTTAGATGGAGGCCTTCCTATGTGGAGAGCTTCAGGTTTTGATGTTGAATCGAGTGCTTCAAGTGATGCCATATTGAAAGCTAGTGCTGCCAGCGAGGCAATAGAAAAAGTATACCATGGCCAAGCTGTAAGTCCATAAATTTCATATAATATATTTTATATAAAGTTATAAACCAACTTTATATAACTTTTTTTTTTTTTTTTCTGTATTAAAGTTATTAGGAATTGATCACAGTGCTGTCTTTTTTTTTTGGGCAGGTTGGTCCAGTTACATTTCAAACAAGATATCAACCACATCTTGTATGGACACTTGAACAGGTTTGTTGGATTAAATTTGGTTGCATTTTTTTTTTTAAATTCATTTCAGTTTGTTTTTAAAGGGCCTATTTTATGATGTGTTTGTTGTTATTGGTTGTTTCAGGTTAGAAAGAACACAGAAGACCAAACACATCAACATGTAGATGCTCGGTCAAAGGCCAGGTATAAAAAATGTCAAATTTAATGATTTTTAATTATATGTTATGAACTTTAATGGTGTTTTTTGAATTTTGATTTGTTTTCAGGTTTGATGGAGTTGCAGCTGAGCCTAGAAAAGGAATAAGGAGTGGCCATGTGCCTGGGAGCAAGTGCATTCCTTTTGCTCAGGTAATCATAAATTGTCTATAAATGAGAGTAAAAAAACAATAAGGGCAGATTTGTAAAAATTTAGGATTAATGGGGAAAAGTGAAATCCTCCTTTTCCTGACTTCCTTTTTTTTTTTTATCAAGGGGTTCTTTCTGTATAAGTAAAAACGAAACACATATATGAAAAGACTGTTTTTATAGATGTTTCTTGGTTTTCTTGATTCTTACAGATGTTGGACAGCTCACAGACACTGCTATCAGCGGACCAACTTAAGAAAAAGTTTGAACAAGAGGGTAAATTCGTCAATTTCAAAATTATACTTCTTTTGTTACTGAATTCTTAAACCATTAAGTCATTTTGTCCAGATTAAGTAAAATAGAAACAATCATGTATAGCAATTCTATAATAAGTGCTTAACCCATTAAGCAAATAGGTAAAAAAGAAACAACCCCTTATATGGATTCGACTCATTATGAATAATGAATAGACCACTTTACCCCTTTTATGATTGCATTCCAAGTGAACTTTAATGGTAGTGTGTCTTTTTCACTTGGGTATCGAAAAGTTAATAAAAAAAAAAAGTTAGTCTTGCAGTAAATTTGGGACATTTAGAGGACAAGATAGATTATTTTCTTGAAATAAATTAAAAAAAAAAAAAAGAAGGATCTTTTTCCATTGATGACTTGAAAATTACTGTTACAGGAATCTCATTGGAGGGACCTGTTATGGCTTCATGTGGGACTGGAGTTACCGCATGCATTCTTGCATTGGTGAGATATTGTATTTTGATTTTTTCATTTGGATATGAACAATAAAACAAAAATGGCATTTTGGATATTTTTTAGAAAAATGGTTTTGTAATTGTAGGGACTCCATCGACTTGGGAAGACAGATGTTCCGGTTTATGATGGATCTTGGACAGAATGGGGAGCACAAGAAGATACTCCTGTTGCAACTTCAACTCCAACTCCAACTTCTTGATTTTAACAAACAATTTTATGGGGTGATAATGGGCACATGTGAACAAGCACAAAGATGGAGATTGTGCATCATAAACATGGACTTTTTGTATTTCAACTGTTTGATTTGGTGGGTGGATTCTTTTCGATTTTATGCAACTAAAAAGTCGTGTATTTCGGTGCCTATGTGTCTGACTTAGGCAACAAAATTGTATTTTCATGTTGAGTATCAATTTGGTTGATGGATTAGGGTTTGAATTGCACATAAGTAGAGGGTTTTGATCATGAGTTGGTGGATCGAAATATCGTATTAGCCTGTTTGATTATGCAATTCAAACTCCGAGATGTTATGTTAAACACGAATAAAGGTTGAGTTTTGATTTGAGGTCCTAATTTGTGTGATATGAGCCTAATGTAATGTAACCTCCAAATTGTTTGTATGTTGTGTAAATTGAACCAAATAAGATGTCAAGGTGGTCTAGGGGTGATCAAACACTTCAAAGGGAAGGGAGTTGGCATGCGTTCATATATTATAATAGGTTGCAATCTTGGAGTGACTTGTCGTTGCACATGCATGTAATATAACAAATGTTGGACATGGTGCAAATTTGACCACATAAGATGGATGCTACGCAGTGGACATGTGGTAGAACGATCAAAGGTGTAAGATACAACAAAAAAAGTTGTTGCATGTCATTAATATGTCAAATGTGTTGATGGATGTCCTTAGAGATGCAACCAACACAAGTGGCTTTGGGTGCAATGGTTAGTGCTTCAAGTGGAAGGTTGGTCAAGAAGGGGATGACTCAGTGTTGATATGGAAGAGGAGCATGGGATAACACTTCCTTGAGCTAATATTAATATGTTGGTGTGTTCTCTTTGTCATCATACTTCATTCAATTATCTTATTTTCAAAGTAACATGTTATGAGATCGTTCTTTTACGCAAAAATGTTGTAAGATATTATGTTTTCATTTTTTCAATTTTGACAATTGATTATAGTTTTCACTTAGCCACTACATCTTGTTTTTTTTTTTTTTTTTTTAATTTAACACCAATTACATGATGTAATCGAACATTGAGGCATTATCATGTCATATCTGCCAACCGAACAAGAATGACTAAAAAAATGATCAAAATTGTACGAAGAAAAAACAAATGTTCGAATTTGTAAAAAGAAAAACTAAAAAACTTAATGTTTTTTGCGACATTTAACCCCAAATTTCACATCTTTCATTTTTTAAGTATTTATTTGTTTTAAGAATACCTACAAAAATTATCAAATTTACCTTTACGTTAAAGGAATGTTCAAAAAACCTTTTCAAAACTTTATGAAAATAAAACAAAACCATAAAGCAACATAATCTACCAAGACACATCATCAAATCACCAATACAACGTGTCATTCATATATAAGGGAAAATGATTCCAACTCAAGAACCATATGAATGCTCAAAAAACAAAGGCCACAATATGTTCACACACACCTTCACATGACCTTTTTATTAACTTCTACTCTAAGCTTAAAACCGTCAAAAAAAACCGCAAAAGTTGGTTTTCCATTATGACATTTCTGACCCTGGTTCAAAACACAAAACAAGATCAAAAGACAGGGGCTCATGCGTCATTCAAGGCGAGCACACCTGGAAGTGTTTTTCCTTCTAGAAGCTCCAAGCTGGCACCACCACCTGTCGATATGTGGCTCATCTTGTCAGCTAGCCCAGCCTTCTCCACTGCTGCAACCGAATCACCGCCTCCAATGATGGTTGTCACTCCCTTTCCACTAAGCTCTGCCAGTTTCTTTGCAATAGCCTGGAAAATAAAAACAAATATAACCATATTGTTGATCAAGGGTATTTTAGTAATTTCACTAGTGTATGTATGTGTGTGTACCTCTGTTCCTGCAGCAAACTTCTCAAACTCAAACACACCCATAGGTCCATTCCAGATAACAGTTTGAGTAGTATCCAAAGTTTCACTGAATGACTTAATGGAATCTGGACCAATGTCTAATCCCATCCAGCCATCAGGAATACTATTGGCTGGAACAATCTGTAATGGAGCAATAATATATACTAAGGAAAGGGCAATTTAGGGAAAAGAAAAAGAAAAGAAAAGGAAAAGGAGAAAAAAAAACCTTGCTGTTGGCATCTGCAGCAAACTTGTCAGCAATTACAACATCAGTAGGGAGTAACAGAGACACCCCTTTAGCCTTGGCATTTTCAAGAAGCGATTTTGCAAGATCGAGTTTATCTTCTTCCACAAGTGAAGATCCAACTTTGAGGCCTTGAGCTTTATAGAAAGTGAAGATCATACCTCCACCAAGAATAAGGACATTAACCTTCTTTAACAATGACTCGATCACACCGATTTTACTTGATACCTTCGATCCTCCAACAATGGCAGCAAATGGCTTCTTGGGATTGGATACAGCTCCAACTAGGTAGTCAAGCTCCTGAAAACACAAACCTATGTAAATAGATTGCCAATTGACTCCATATTTAATCAAGATCAAGAAATGACAGACCTTTTGCATGAGGAATCCAGCAACAGAAGGTTTCAAGTACTTTGTGACACCTTCTGTGGATGCATGTGCTCTATGTGCAGTGCCAAATGCATCATTAACATACAAGTCTGCTAGTGATGCAAGCTTCTTTGCGAATTCAGGATCGTTCTTTTCTTCCTCTTTATAGAATCTGACATTTTCAAGAAGCAAAACACCCCTCTCTGGGAGCTCAGCCACCAGTTTCTCAACTTCTGGACCTATGCAATCACTTGCCATCTTGACCTGTTACAGGGTGCAAAGAAAGCATTTCAGAAAAGAGTTGAATTAGCTGATGAGAGGTGTTGTATTAATGAAGATGCATGGAGAAACTAACCTCGACTTCAAGGAGCTCAGAGAGTCTAGGCACAAGTGGCTTCAGGCTGTATTTTGGTGTAACACCCTTAGGACGTCCCTGTAAATACGTTCACAACAAACAAAAGAACATAAATCATCAGACCCTCCTTACAAACAGTTCAAACCCAAAGAGGTAGCTATTGGTTAATTAAGCTTATGAGGTCCCAAATCTGAATCTTCCTTCTTAGGCACCCCTTAGATCAACTAAAAGAAAGTGATTAGCATCTTTATTGCGATCAAAGAATGAGCAAAACGGATTCAAAAACCACGTCTTAGTCACGTTATTATATACGTGAGATTTAACTGCTATGGATGAAGATTACAGAAGAAACTTATCCATATACATGTTATTTGGAGATAGATTGCAACACGTATATCAGAAACAAACATACGACCCAGATCAAATGAGGAACAGAACACATACCAGGTGAGAAGAGAGGATGATTCTGGCGCCATTAGACATCAAATATTTGATAGTAGGGACGGCGGCGCGGATACGTGTGTCGTCGGTGATCTTAAAACTGTCATCCAAGGGTACATTAAGATCAGCCCTAACAAACACCTTCTTCCCCTTCAGATCTCCTTCCTTCAAACTGCTTACGCTCTTCTTTGTCGCCATTTCTCACAAACAAAAACGATTACTTAGATCTTAGCTTCCCTGTCAAAATCCCCAAAAAAATAATCAAAACACATATTACGATCAGAAACAAAAACAATTCAAATCATTGATATGCATCATGGATTGAGAAAGATCTGAAGCATCGATCGATCGATCGGATTAGATCAAACTTACGATGATTTTGAGGTTATGAGATCGAGAGAAAAGAATCAACTGGATCGATGCTTTTTTTATGCTTTTGTGTGAGCGACCGTGTTCTTCTTTTATGGTATTCTTTTCTAGAATGTGTATGGACCACAAGGAAAAAAAAGGCCGGTTTGGGCGTCATGGGTTGAAATACTTGAGCTTTCATGGGGTGGGCCGAAACATGCCATGTTGAGTTGACCACTTGACCGGGTTATGTTTTTATATGTTTCATCAAATGAAACTATTATAATTCGTTAAAATTTAGAGTAAAAAAAAAACAATTACATAAAATTTAGAAGATATTATAGCCAATTAACCCAATTTAAAGTAGAGTTTTTATTTTTCTTCAAATATCATAGGAACAAAAAACTCTCTAATCGAGTAAAAAATATCATTTTTCTTCAAATGTCCTATTGCAAACAACAAAACATTCCTAAACTTTTAAATGTACCAGATTGAGACACATACAATAACACTTATTACAGTCTTCTTCTTCTTCACGTTCATGCCCAAGTTATCATTGCACCGAATCAAACTCTATATGTTGAATATCCAACCACTTGAGCACTACATTTCAAGTTCTAACTGTCACCTCATCTTAACAAAATGTTATTTAATTGTCCCGCCTCTAGCGAAAAAATTTGACACAAAATGGACGAAACATTTATCCCTCGAGATTCAATGTTATATCTAATAGGAATTATGTACAAAAGAACGTGACATAACATAATATTTACCTTTTCTAGGAACAAAAAGATTTCACCCCGTTTTATTTCCTGACGTTGGAAGAATAATGTCATCAATCTAAATTATTGTTTCACTAATCGTGAAGCATCAATTCTCACCAATCTCCAACCACCATCTATCTTCCTAAAATGATAAAGACATGTCTCCAGGACTACTCACCAAAGTCTCGAACTACCTAAGTTCACTATTGTCGCGAATATGATGCCGTCATTCCCAATTTCATCTATCATCTACCATTATATCTATGATACATCAATCTTTACTCATATACTAGACGAATGCTTATGCGTTGCGCAGAAACATCTATATAATTGAAATCTTTACAATTATATGTTTTTCTAAATATAACAATAATGTTGTTAAATTTGATATAATAATTCGTATACTAAGGATATATAATATATTGATTATTTTGAAGAGTAAATTACACAAATGGTCCCTATGGTTTAGGGTAATTTACGTGTCTAGTCCCTAACTTTTTTTTTTAACTTGGAAGGTCCCTACTATTTGTTTTTGTTACGCGTTTGGTCTCTACTGTTTGTTTTTGTTACGTGTTTGGTCCCTGTCTAACAAAAAAGAAGACTATTATTTATATAGAGAAAAATGGTAAGGTAGATAAGGTAAGGTGATGGGTGGGTGGGGTTGGGGTGTGTTTATTTAAATAAATTAAAAAATCAAGGGAAAAAAATAGTAATTTTAGGTAAGATATGGTCCAAATGCATAACAAAAACAAATAATAGACCTTCCAAGTTAAAAAAAATAAGTCATTAACCAAACACGCAAATGACTCTAAACCATAGGGACCATTCATGTAATTTACTCTATTTTGAATTATACGATAATACATACATCTATTAAAACTGTATAATCCCAATATTTTGAATGACCTCTACATATTGGTTACTCATAAACAAAATTAAATATAATATATGGTTTAATTTTATTTATAGTTGTTATTATTAATTAATTTTTTAAATTTCATTTGCTTAACGTTTTAATTTCTATCATTGTAATTATTTAAAAATCAAAAAATAATTTTAAATCTAACAATATAATTATTTTATAAAGTTATTTTTAACTATTATTATTGTAAATTATTTTAAGCTACTTATTTGAAAAATTTTAATGATTATAAAAATATATTTAAGAAATATTTTAGTTAAATAGATATTATAATTTAGTTTTTGAATTTAACACTACAATTTATCACTTTTAACTATTCACAAAATATTCTTTGGGTTTTTTAAGTGGAACTGAAATTTATATTGAAGTTGATCCTATAATGTTATATTTAAATTAACAATTTAAGTATTATGTCAAAACTGTTCAAAAGTTCTATCTTTAAACTGATAATAGTTTACATACAACAACATATTAAATCTAATAAATTAAATATAATATGTTCAAAGTAAAAGACATAACTTTATAAGTATAGGTAAAAATATTATTTTAATATTAAAATTTAGTTTATCTATGATTACACTTTAGATTTTATACTTATTTAACGTT